CTCTCTCTCACACACACACTCACTCACTCTAACACACTCACTCACACACACACACTCACTCACTCTAACACTCACTCACACACACTCTCTCTCACTCACTCTCTCACACACACGCTCACTCTAACACTCACTCTAACACTCTCTCTCACACACACACACTCACTCACTCTAACACTCACTCACACACACTCTCTCTCACACACACACACTCATTCACTCACTCACTCTCTCACACACACGCTCACGACACACACTCACTCTCTTTATTCACTCACTCACGTACACACACACACACACACATAGTCTTCAGAAATGAACTGTTTTCTCGGGTCAGGACGGAGTTCGCCATCAGCCGCTTACGCCGATGTGAAAACCACAGGGGCGTTTATATCCTGCGGTGCAGCCCGAGAGACTACGACAGGTACTTCCTGTCCTTCGTGGTTGAGGTGAGTGTGTTTATGTGGATTATATCACAGGCCAGAGGATGTCTTTATTTCGTTCAATCCGCAGCAGCAATTAACTTTCAGCTCAGTGTGTGTTTTATTGATTGTCTGTGTGTGTATGTGTATCTCTGTGTGTTTGTGTGTGTATGTGTGTGAGTCTCTGTCTCTCTCTGTGTTTGTGTGTGTGTGAGTCTCTGTCTCTGTGTGTGTGTGTGTGTGTGTGTGTGTGTGTGTGTGTGTCTGTCTGTGTGTCTGCAGTTTGAGAGTCAGCTGGAGTTTAAGCACTGTCTGGTCGTTCGCTCTCACTCGGGAGAGTTTGTGCTCAACGGAGCCAAATGCAGCTTCAGCAGTCTGGGTGAATTACTGCAGCACTACCAGAAGGAAGCGCTGCGCTCCGACAGACATGTGTTCCAGTTCAGCCGCCGCTGTCCGCCGCGCAGCAAAGGTCAGACGCGGATCTCTGCTTCGGATCAGACACTCCGGCGGAACTGTGTGAGTGACGTGTGTTTGTGTCTGTAGATAAATCCAATCTGCTGGTGTGCAGGAGCAGCCAAACCTCTGACGCGCGTCTCTCGCCGTCTGAACTCAAACACATCAACCAGATGATCTTCCACAAGATCCATAAAGAAGATCTGGAGACGGTGAGTCTGAACACACAGATCACGCCAGCACTGTGTATCACAACTGTTCAGAGTGTTTCTTTCATCTTACAGAGTATCTGCATTTCTATAGCAGTGATGTTGCGTTGATATACAGCACTGTGCAAAAGTCTTAGAACACTTTGTACTGTACCTACGCCAAAAAAACAGCAACAGCTACATATGAATGTGGCTTTTAAAGGATTTCATGTGCTTTTTCCCCCCAATCACACTTGCTAAATATGATTGGATTCCAATTGGTAATGCACAAAAATCGGATTTGGGCTTTATGTTCATATCATACCTGGATATGGAAGTGCAGGTGCATCTCTTTCTGATGACGTTCCTGTAATGTTTTCTTGGCGTTCAGATGGAGGGTTTGGGTCAGGGAGCGTTCACGCAGGTCTTCCGCGGCGTCCGGAGGGAGCTCGGAGATTACGGAGAGATCCACAAGATGGACGTGGTGCTCAAAGTCCTGGATAAAACCCACCGCAACTACACTGAGGTACTGTGGGAAAAACCCAAGCGTCTTTGTCTTTCTCTTCATGAGTCTGATCAGCGCGGGGCATCATGGTTTCTCTCTCTGACAGTCGTTCTTCGAGTCGGCGAGCATGATGAGCCAGCTATCCCACAAACACCTGCTGCTCAACCACGGCGTCTGCGTGTGTGCTGATGAGCGTGAGTATCTCACACACACACTCACTCACACACACACACACACACACACAGACACACACTCACTCTCTCTCTCACACACACACTCTCTCTCTCTCACACACATACACACACACACACACACAGACACACACTCACTCTCTCTCTCACACACACACTCTCTCTCTCTCACACACATACACACACACACACACACAGACACACACTCACTCTCTCTCTCACACACACACTCTCTCTCTCTCACACACATACACACACACACACACACAGACACACACTCACTCTCTCTCTCACACACACACTCTCTCTCTCTCACACACATACACACACACACACACACAGACACACACTCACTCTCTCTCTCACACACACACTCTCTCTCTCTCACACACATACACACACACACACACACAGACACACACTCACTCTCTCTCTCACACACACACTCTCTCTCTCTCACACACATACACACACACACACACACAGACACACACTCACTCTCTCTCTCACACACACACTCTCTCTCTCTCACACACATACACACACACACACACACAGACACACACTCACTCTCTCTCTCACACACACACTCTCTCTCTCTCACACACATACACACACACACACACACAGACACACACTCACTCTCTCTCTCACACACACACTCTCTCTCTCTCACACACATACACACACACACACACACAGACACACACTCACTCTCTCACACACACACACACACACACAAACACGCGTGTTTCTGTCAGGTGTGTAAGCATCTGCGTGTCTTTCAGACATCATGGTGCAGGAGTATGTGCGCTTCGGCTCTCTGGACACGTACCTGAAACGAAACTGCAACACCATCAACATCACCTGGAAGCTGGAGGTGGCTAAACAGCTAGCATGGGCACTACATCACCTGGTGAGCGACACAGTATTGGGGTAATGCATTACAAGTAACACGAGTTACGTAATCAGATTACTTTTTTCAAGTAACTAGTAAAGTAACGCATTACTTTTACATTTAAGTAATGCAGTTACTTTGTTTCCGTGTGTTGAGTGACAGCTCTGGTGTTGCCATGGTGACAGAAATCAGGAGTAAGAGCAGAGCGTTGTGTGTGAACATGATCTTACTGTAGCTCTAGACTAAATATCAACATGTGTTTACTCATCTCACTGCACACAAACACATTCAGTGCTCCTCACAATCAATAAATACTGTCCAATGCAAACTCAGAATATGATGCAAAACCGCAATAATTAAATATGTTAAATAAGACAAATATCATCACATTTTATTAACCAATGTCTTTGCTGCTGACCTTCGATGATCCAATTCAAGCATACCTATAAACTAAAATGACACATTTGTGTATAATGTGTTATTGCTGAATAGTGTTGAACTTTCTTCTCCTGCGTCATATTCTTCATGTAGTTAGTTTGAGCGGCGCCCTCTACTGTACAGACCAGAAATTACATTTCCTTCAGCCTGAGGCTCTTTCATTCCAGTTTTGGTGTGAAAGAGTATTTACACTTGTATAAGAAGAACTTTATTATGTTAAAAACAAACAGCCAAGCCCTGCTCAGATTTAAAAAGTAACACAACGCATTACTTTCCATAAAAAGCAAAGTAGTAACTTAATTAGTTACTTTTTTAGGGAGTAATGCAATATTGTAATGCATTACTTTTAAAAGTAACTCCCCAGCATTGCATGGCACCAGACTAATGATAATCACGGTGTGTTTCTGATCCGCAGGAGGAGAAGAACCTGATCCACGGAAACGTCTGCGCCAGGAACATTCTGGTGACCCGAGAAGAAGACCGTAAGACGGGAACGCCTCCGTTCATCAAGCTCAGTGACCCAGGGATCAGCATCACTGTCCAGCCCAGAGAACGTGAGCGAAGCCGTATTCGTGTGGTTTAGAAAACACTTCCAGTCTGAATATCCAGTTAACAGCGCAGAACTCGAGAGCTGACAGGAGTTGTTGTCTTGTGCTCTTCTGTCTGTAGTTCTGGTGGACCGGATCCCGTGGGTTCCTCCAGAGTGCGTGAAGGACAGCAAGAGTCTGAGTTTGGCAGCAGATAAGTGGAGCTTCGGCACCACGCTGTGGGAGATCTACTGCAGCGGAGAGCATCCGCTCGTGGCGTACGACGGGTCTAAGGTGCAGCGGCCCCTCCGCGCTTCTGTCTGCGCTGTGTGCCGCTGACTCTAACTGATGCTCTTGTGTGTCGTGCAGAAGCTGCTGTTCTACGAAGACAAGCACCAGCTTCCAGCTCCGAAGTGGACTGAACTGGCCAGCGTGATCAACAGCTGCATGGAGTACGAGCCGCTGCAGCGGCCCTCGTTCAGAGCCGTCATCCGAGACCTCAACAGCCTCTTCACGCCAGGTGACGCTCACCGCACGCACCGCCGCACATACACCATGATAACTAGGGATGCAACAATACAGTTCGCGGTTCAATACGCACCACGGTTTTCGGTTAGGTTCTGATAGCTTGGCACATCAGTGTTTTTTGCAACAAATTAACAACAAAAAAACTCCTGTAAACCTATGTACACTGGAAAAAGCTTGGATTATTATATGTCTGCTTAACATTTCTTTTGAGAGAGATATTATATTTCCGATTTTTATCCAAAAAAGATGGATTGGCAATTATTGAGCGCTATAAACTCATGTAATGCGTGTTTCATTCATATTGGACACCAGAGGGCGCCCTCGCACAGAAAATCCACACATGCATCACAGAAGTAATATAACTGATGACAGGAAATCCCTGATATGGATAAAGGCATCGCTATTGCTGTAACTGAATAAAAAGAAGATATAACGTTAAACGTTTTGAATAATGTAAGGACAATAAACACTCGCCTGCGACAATATATGGTTT